GCAGTGCTGTAAGGAATCATGTGTCTATGCCAAGAAATATGAACAACAATTACCTGGCAAACCAACTAGAAGAGATTTCTATTTGTGCCTATTTCAAAGAAAGGTGATCCAACAGAATGATGAAATATCAAGCAATATAATTTATATCACATGCAAGTAAAATTTTGCTGAAGATAATTCAAAAATAGTTGCAGCAATATGTAGACAGGGAACTGCCAGAAATTCAAGCCAGATTCAGAAGAGGATGTGGAACCAGGGATATCATGGGTGATGTCAGATGGATCTCAGCTGAAAGCAAAGAATACCAGAAAGATGTTTATCTGTGTAGGGTTTTGTTTTGTTTTGTTTTTTGTTTTCTGACTATGTAAAGGCATTTGACTGTGTGGATCATAACAAATTATGGATACCATTGCAAAGAATGGGAATTCCAGAGCATTTAATTGTGCTTATGTGGAACCTGTATATAGATCAACAGGCAGTTGTTGAACAGAACATGAGGATACTGCATGGTTTAAAATCAGGAAACGTTTGTGTCAGGGTTGTATCCTTTCACCATGCTTATTCATTCTGTTTTCTGAGTAAATATAATCTGAGAAACTGGACTACATGGGGAAGACTGTATTATTAGAATTGGAGGAAGACTCAGTAACAACCTGCAAAATGCAGATGACACAACCTTGCTTGCTGAAAGTAAAGAGGACTTGAAGCACTTCCTGGTGAAAATCAAAGACTACAGCCCTCAGAATGGGTTACACTTAACAATTAAAACAATTAAAGTCTTCACAACTGGACCAGTACACAACATCATGATAAATTGGGGAAAAGACTGAAGTTGTCAGGGATTTCATTTCCCTTGGATCCACAATCAACACCCATGGAATCAGCAGCCAGGAAATCAAAAATGTATTCCATTGGAAAAATCTGCTTCAAAAACGTCTTTAAAGTGTTACAAAGCAAAGATGTCACTTTGAGGACTAAAGTGCTCCTAACCCAAGCCATGATATCTTTAATATCCTTATATGCATGTGAAAACTAGACAATGCATAAAGAAGGCTGAAGAAGAATAGACACATTTGAATTATGGTATTGGTGAGGAATATTAAATATACCATGGAATGCTAGAAGAACAAACAAGTCTTTCTTGGAAGAAGTACGGCCAGAATGCTCCTTAGAAGTGAGAAAGACAAGACCTTATGTACTCTATACACATTATAAGGAGAATGATATCATGCTTGGTGAAGTAAAAGGTCAGAAAAAAGAAGAAGGCCCTCAACATGATCCACTGACATAGTGGCTGCAACAGTGGGCTCAAGCATAACAGCAATTGTGAGGGTGGTACAGGACAGGGCAGTTTTCGTTCTGTTGCCTGGAGGGAAGCTATCACTCCGAACTGACTTGATAGCACCTAACAACAACATGCAGTAGGCAATAGTGATGAAAAATGATTATACAGAATTGGTTACTCATTAGGTTTGATATTCAATGTCTTAACTCCAAATTCTACTTGCTGTTTATTTCAACACTATTTATTTACACATTGCTCTCCATCCTTAGTCCAGTCTAATCCCTTCTTTCCATAAGATCTCTGAGACTGCATTAATTTTCATTAATTTAGCACTCATGACTTAATAGTACATAGCATGTTGTTGTTATGTGCCATCGAGTCAGACCTGACTCATAGCGACCCCTCCTTGGGTTTCCAAGGCCTGCTAACCAGACGGCTGGCGGTTCAAACCCACCAGCCACTCCTCGGAAGGAAGGTTGGGCAATCCTACTTCCGTAGTGATACTGCCTCGGAAACCCAAGGAGGGGTCGCTATGAGTCAGGGCTGACTCGATGCCACATAACAACAACAACAACAACATCATTACAGAAGTAGATTGCCCAACCTTCCTTCCGAGGAGTGGCTGATGGGTTTGAACCACCAGCCTTCTGGTTAGCCAATAATAACTGTTGGAAATTATTTAGTGTTTCATTTGCAAGAATATTTCAGATCTAAATTAGCTAACTTTGCTGAAATCATTGGCTTAAAAATTGTCATACCAGAGAAACAAAAAAGCAGTGAACAGCTTGCTTTCCTTGAAGTACATAGTTTACAGTTCTTTACATCCTGAAAATGCATACAGTTGCCTTGAACAGTTGTTTTTGAAAAGAAAATATTCATCTAGAAGTTATGGATGGAGAAGAAAATTGTTTTAAAAAAATGTTCAAAAAAGGAAAGCAATGTTCATCCCCTTTTAAGAGCTTATTCAAATGAAAAATTGCTCGGTACAAGCTTGATCTATATGTTTTTAGTGGTTATTAGTGGTAATGAAGATGCATCAAACATACTCTCTTGATAATACTCTAGCAGTTGCTTAGTACTTGTATCAACATATAAATTTTACAACTGGTAATATGGGAATTTGACTAGTACATTTTTGTTTATAAAAAAGGGTAACAACATTATAACTTCTTCATATTTGTGAATTATGACTCTTGACTTGCACACAAGCAAAACTAAACTGTAACAGAATTTCAGTATCACAATAACTCATCTGTCTACTGACATTCACAAGAAAGGGGAGTGCGTGCAGGCTGCTGAGTGGAATATAGTGCCAGAGGTGAATGCCTCCTTAATCCAGAATTCATGAATTCCTTTCATTTCATTCATCCTTTTCTCTCAATAAACATGCATTGCATGCCTTCTCCAAGTAGCCACATAGTATCTGTAAAATGAGAATGCTCTGCTTATTAGAAAGCACCTGGAAAGTGAAAATAAGTGGTGCATAATCTCTGCATGTCTTAACTCCATTAAGACACTTTATTTTGAGTAATATTTGGAAGGATGTTAAATATTAAATGTTGTTGTTGCTGTTATGTGCCGTTGAGTCGGCCCTGACTCATAGCGACCCCTCCTTGGGTTTCCGAGGCAGTATCACTAAGGAAGTAGATTGCCTCATCTTCCTTCCGAGGAGTGGCTGATGGGTTTGAACCACCAGGCTTCTGGTTAGCAGTCAAGTGCCTTAGGCACTACACTGCCAGAGCTCCTAAATATTAAATAGCTGGTTCTTTACACATAAAACATGATGCAAAAGGAACTATTTGAAAAATGTTTTCCCCCCCTTTTTTTTTTTTACATTTCACTGAGTTAAAAATAAATGTTTTTTTGTTTTTGTTTTTTTTTTTAAAGCTGAATTTTAGGGTTTACTCCAAAGCAATCTAAGTCTCCAATACCTAAGCTATAATATTAGTACTATTAGAAAAAACTTTGTGGAAGAAAAAGATATGGCATTCTTCCTTTTTTTATTGTAGTACCATGGATTAGTTTGTTTTAGTGCTATATCTAGCAATGCCAAGGATACAGCTGTAATATAAGTGGTAGGAGAATTACTATGGAAGTACTTCCAGATAAATCTGGGAGAAGGAAATGATAGTAAAAGTCAAGCTAACTAAAATAGAATAAGTGGATCCCTCAAACTTGATTTTCAGTTTCCACTTTTATGAAAGGAAGCAAAATGTGAGGAAGTAAGTTTCTATTAATGATTTGGGCAATGAAAACACCAACTTTGTTGTTATTGTGATGTTGAGTTACCTCCTACAACTACTATAATGTATAATCATAACTGGTCATCATGATCATTGCCCTGTGATGCTACAAGATTATGAATCATATGGAAAATAACCATTTGTTTAACAAATATTTTCCTGATACCTTCTATTTACCAGGTACATTTATAGCACATGGGCTGGCACACCATGGAAACCAAGAGAGGAAGTGTGTGAGAGGGAGGGGAGGAGTTAAGGGAATTGGTTGCTGCTAAAAGATGGAATAAGATAAGAATAGACTTTTTGATCTGCAATGCAGAAGTCATTGGTGACCTTGAGCAGTGGTTCCAAAGCAAAGGCCATAGCCATACTTAGTAGGCCAAAGATTGAGGAAAAAGAAAGTAGCAAGACATCTCCTTAAAAAATTATGCTGAAAATAGGGAAATAAATGAGATGGTAACTGGAGAGGAATGAGGGTTCAAGGGATAATTACACACGTACATGCATGTAAGCGTCTGTGTGTGTGTGTGGTGCTAATAAGAATGATGTTGTTGTGGTGTTACGTGCCATCAAGTCAGACCCGACTCATAGCGACCCCTCCTTGAGTTTCCGAGGTAGTATCACTACTATGGAAGTAGATTGCCCCATCTTCCTTCCGAGGAGTGGCTGGTAGGTTGGAACCGCCAGGCTTCTGGTTAGCAGTCAAGTGCCTTAGGCACTATGCTACCAGAGCTCCTAATAAGAATGATATACAGTTGAAAAAAGGAGAAAATGATGGTGCAGGAGAGGAGGACAGCAGGAGCAATGATCAGAGATGGGATCCAAAGCCAAATAGAGAGACTGGCCGTGGCTAGCAGCAGAGACTCTTTCTCCACTATGACAGGGGAAAAGACAGACTGCAGTAGATAGAAGGCATTGGTGGTTCAGTGGGAGAATTCTTGCCTTCTATGCAGGAGACCCAGGTTTGATTCTGGGTCAATACACTTCATTTGCAACCACCACCCATCTGTCAATGGAGGCACATGTATTGCTGTGATACTAAACTTCTAGCCAAAGAGTAGAAAGAAAGGCCGGCTTACCTTTTCTGGAAATCCTGTGGCTCACAGCAGCCTCAGCCACAACGTGATCATAGGGATGGTGCGGAAACAGGCAGTGCTTCCTTCCATTGCGCAGGGGCCCCCATGAGTTGGAGAGGGACTCCAAAAACAGCCAAAAAACAACAACTGTAGATAGAGTCATGGAATGAATGAAAAAGAAGAAGACTGTTTTCCATAGGCCACATTTTTAAGAATAGTTTTAAATAAGGGAAAGCAATAAGTTTCCTTCTCCCTGTATGTAACTGTTACAGACCTGGTAAATAGCCTTTTTCAAAGCAAGTAAGCTATGTGTTTATACCAATGAAGTATGTGAAATAGGAGTGTCTTCTAATTTATGTAATATCGCTCCATTTTAATTTCTGTCTTATGTTCCAGGACCAACGCCAAAGGCGCTCCCCTGAATATAAATAAGGTCTCTAACAGCCTGATTAATTTTGGAAGGAAGTTGATTTCCCCAGCAATGGCCCCAGGCAGTGCGGGTGGCCCGGTACTTGGGGGCAATAGCAGCAGCTCCTCCACAGCTGGGCTTCCCACCAGGACCTCAGCAGAGGCCCCAAGGCATCATCTGCAGCAGCAGCAGCAGCAGCAGCAGAGGCTGATGAAGTCAGAAAGCATGCCAGTGCAATTGAACAAAGGTAAGGAAAAAGTACTAGTAAATCCAAAGAAAACCCTCCAGCCTCTCAAAAGTGGAAATTAATGCTAAACTTAGTAAATGAAATGTTGTATCTTTATTCTTTTTTATTTGAAATATCAGATATTGTGTTTTTCTTAATTAAGAATACTTAATAAAATAATTTGTTACTTTTTTTTTCTAACATTTATATCCTAGTATATAAACACATTTACCTCCAGTGTGTACCCATATAAAGTAGTATCACAAGCTATCAGAACTCAGAACTTGAGATCAGTTGACTGCGTACTCTACTGACTTTGTGTAATAATACTTCTGACTAGAAACTGAAGTGGGCAGTCCCAATACCATGGGCATCACTAGTCATAGCATTCACCCCTATAGTGCAGTGGCTTGGAAGAAGCATACCTTCAGCCTTGCAGTGGCTGACCCAGCTGCTTCACCTCTGAGGAATACAAACTAGAACCTTAATGGGGTAAAAAGCTAAACAAAATCTTGAGCAGCCAAAATAAGTGAGTTCATCCACCAAAAGTTACAACCATAGAAGGTTGTTGTTGTTGTTATATGCCATCGAATCAGATCCGACTCATAGCGAGCCCTCCTTGAGTTTCTGAGGTGGTATCACTATGAAAGTAGATTGCCCAACCTTCCTTCTGAGGATTGGCTGGTGGATTTGAACCGCCAGCCTTCTGGTTAGCAGTCAAGTGCCTTAGGTACTGCACTACCAGAGCTCCTTATAGAAGGTTAGAGCTCTGGAAAACTGAGAGCTCGTCAGTCCCTGTCTCTCACTGTCTGAGAATAAGTACTGTTCTCAAAATCGTAATTTATTGCTGGCACTCCTGCTACCAATTTCGGGAAGCTCATTTCTCTTTCAAGGCTCTTTCTAGCGCTTCACTTCCCTCATGTACTTCACTAATAAGAAAGCTCTTCATGTATGGAAAGCGAATTTGCTCTGTAAACTTTCACCCAAATCACAATTTAAAAAAATAAATAAATAAGAAAGCTCTTCAGGTTCTTACTCAGAACTTTTGTACTCTGATTGTTCACTTATTTTATAAGAAACAGTGTATTACAGCTCCCCCTATTCACAGCAGATTAGAAATAGCTATTTGTTTATTACAGCTATTAAAAACACCATTTGTTTTTAATGGTGGAACTGTGCTCTCTATATACTACAGAAGAAATAGTAATATAATCTACAAAAAGCGGTTCTAAGACCTCACAGAGCATTCAGTCTGGGACCATTTGGTATTGGGGCAAACATTCTGACATCTCATTCATATCTTAATGGGATCCCTGTGTTAAGCAGTGTTCAGTAACTGGTGTCAGTAATAGCACTAGTAATATTTAGTCAATAAGAAGATGTTCCATATACTCTGTTTAAGAAGATACTGCATCCAAAATTATTAAAATTTTAAAGAATTGGCATTTAAGATGGTGCACTTAAATTATATGGACTTTATTTTCCAATGATACAAAATAATGAATATTTTCCAATGGTGAATACATGTATATGTGTGTTCCTTCATTGATTATATCATGTTTTCTCTCTTTTCTATATTTTTTGCCGATATAAATATTAAACTACATAATTAGACTTTAAATTGTATTAGAATATTTAATTTACCTTACATAAGAATATCTTGCTTGTTTAAATTACATCCTTTCCCTCATAATGTAGAGCTGACACACATGATTTAAAGAAAAGGAAACTTCAGATCATTAACATGTTGTAAATGTATTTTAATGCCAGGAGGCATGCCCACTTCCAGAATGAAAATGAATGTTATTTTATGTATTTCTTAATTGTACTGTTTTATTGTTCTAAACAAATGTGATTTCAATATTGCTTTGATAACAAGCTGTAGTCAGTAGTAATTCTAACTGATGGCAGGCAAATGAGTCAGAGAATCTCTTGATGCTGTAGCTTAAATTTTCTGAGGAACCAAGCCAAATGACTACAGAAATATAAAGTTGTGTCTCTAAGGAAATGTCAAGTATTAATATCACAGTAAGTGAGAAAGGAAGTGCATGAAGATGGAACAATTGATGAAAACCAAGTCCCTAGTTACAAGGAGACAACAGAGCACTTAAGCAAAGTATTTGGAACATGAGTATCACTAGGGCATTTTGTAACTGATCCCAGTGCTAAAAGAAAGTGGCCTTGTTTGGCAACTCTTCTGTATATTTTATTTCTGGTTCTTACCTCTCATGTCAGTCTACCAAAAAAGCTTGTCTACCTCCATATTCAAAGATGAATATTCCTGCTAATGTCCCTGCAGAAAGGTTTGAATAAAAAAGAATACAAAGCAAAGGGAAGGGTTCGTAGAAATAGACGCTAGTGTGGCTTGATGCTCTCCCTCCATCCAATCACTGTGGGACCCTCAGCAAAACCCTCAACCACTCCAACCTTCTTTTCCTGACCCTGAAACAAGGCTTGAACTGTGAAGCCTCTCAGATCTAAAAATCTATGGCTCTTTTGGTGAAAGATGTATTTGTTAATTTGCGAAGAAAAATAATTCTCCAACTTTGGTTCTTTATGCTTGTATTTACACTCTGCCTCCACACAAGCAAATCTGCAAGCATGACACCTGGTCCCAGAAACAAACAAATGCAATCTTTAGCCTGTCAGACTTGTGATGGGATATGACATCTAACTACCTCAGAGCAGTCATCTACTTAGTGCCTCTGAGAAAAGAAAAATATAATAGCCTTTTTACTGTACTAGAAAGTTGTTTTGAAAAACGTTTGTTTGTGAGGAGGAAAAGTGCATAAAGTTTTCATAGTTCACTTAACTCTCTTTTATTGGTGCTTTACTTGGGAAACAGTTACTCGGAAAATCCAAGTTCATGTATGTGTTGCTTGAAATCGTTCTGTGGTTTGTATATGTGTTGGCATGGAGTAGTGGAGGAGGAGGGGGCAGCACAGATACTCACCCATGAGATTTTCTTGGAGGTATTTAATGTTAAGATGGGCTTTGAGTCTCTAAATATAAACTAATAGGTGATAGAGAAGCAACAGAATAAGATGGTTGGCAGGCATTAGAATTGAAACTCTCCAGCCAGTACACAGAATGTAGGCACACTTTCTATCAGTGAATTGTGAGCTAGATGTATTATGAAAATTTAGGACCTAACTATTTCTGTTAAAAGCTGTTTATCACATGTTTGGAGTAGATACCTATTTATAGATTTATTTCCATTACAGAAGAATATATATGCACACACTGTTAATTGATAGGAAAGATATAATTACAACCGAACAATTTCCAGATGAGCTGGCCATGCTGAAAATCATAATTGTAGCAAGTGGTCAGGGCACCAAGGATATGTTATTTAATTCAAAATTTTTTTTTTTTTCCCTCTGTATTATATAAAAGCTAGAGGGGATGCAAGTCTATTAATCATACATTCATTATCATACGTGGAAGGTGTGGTGCCTTTCAAGGCAGGTTTTTTTTTTTTTCTTTTTAGCTTGTTAATCTCAAAATAGCATAGGCTTTCAGATGATGGTATATCCAGAGGATTATTATATCGACAGTAAGTGTGCTCAGTTTTGAACTTTGTCATCCAGGAAGGAAAGCAAAAAACCAAAAATTCTTCTCTCTAAGTGTTAGTATACCCGGAGTTCACAGGATTGCCTATTGAGCTTCCTTTCCTGTGCCCTTGAAATGCCCTCTCTTTTTCCTGCCATTTCCTTTGTCCGTAGTTTTAATTTCCTTTTGAATTTGAATGCTTCTTTATTTTAAGCATTTACTACAAGCCAAATTTGTAAATGAAATCTTGCCTATAATAACTATATCAAGTTTAAAGGGTATGTAGTTCACAGGTTTATTTTTAGATGTTGACATTTGTAAGTACATGTGGTAACTTATGAAATCTTTTCATTACTTAATTTGAAATTAGAACTTTTCCCTTGAAATGTAGGTTTATTTAGGTCTTTATCTTATCACTGACGAAGTTGGCTTCAAGCTTTGTTAATAAATTTTATCTGATTGAAGAGGATATCAATTTCAAAAGCATGCCTATTTCTTAATAAATGACATCACTTTTGAACAAAAATCTTTTTCAGAAAGAACGATTCTTTTTCAGAAAGGAAATATAAAGATACTCTAATATTTGTAGCATCATTGAATCAGCTCAGCAAAATCTTTTGATTGTTCAAGTTTCCTTTAGACTAGCAGAAGCTTGTTTTTTTTTTTCTTGTCAAAGAAAAAAGCAAAAGCTTTCTAGGAAACACTTTTTTAAAAATATTTCCTTTTAAAATATTTTGTATTTTTCTAGGCTTGTACTGTATTTTCTGTTGCATTTTTAGTCATTAGACTGATAAAAGTATTACAATATTAAGTATGAAAGAAAAGTAAAGTTGATTATTTCTTTTTAATGAAATCTAATTATTTTTTCTTATGAAATCTAGGCGATGTAGTTACAGGAAGCGATGCTCAGGTTTCTGTTCCTGTCCAGACTCTAACTGACCCCCAAGGTACAGTTACCATGGCAACATAGTGGTTCTTTTTGCCTGCAGTATTATCATTACCTTTTTCCAAACCCCATTTTTCTCTTTGCCCACCTCCATTCATACTGTTAATCAGTTCACTACCATTGTATAGCCACACAGCGGCACTGTTGTTTAAAACAAAAGTCCCCTCGCGTCATAGGTTGGTGATGTGGAATCAAGTTGTGATGTAGGTTTTTCTATTAAGTGTGTACCAGCCTCTTTCCTCGCAATACATGATTCACCCTGTATTTTCTGGTTATTTTAATACTACACTTTGTGTGCCAGCTCACATCAAAGTGTTCTTTTTGTTGCACAGGTGCTCTGTGATAGTATTTGACAAATTTGTTCGGAGATTAGACATCCATATGCTATGATTAGCCAGAGGTACTTACTATGTTTTACCTAAAAGAATTACAACCTGATTTTGAAATAAGGTTTTAAGTACAGGTGTAGTATTAGGAATTACTCTAACAGAATTAAAGTGTGGTGTGACCAATCTCCATATCC